TCGATGATTTCAACTCCCCCGCTCAGGCCTTCACCTCCGAGGACGGCGTTCCAAACGCCCGCGGCAGGGTACTCGGCGGCAGCAGCGCCATTAACGCCGGTTTCTACAGCAGAGCCGACCAAGATTTCTACCAACGTTCAGGTATCAACTGGGATCCCGTAATGGTGAATCAGTCTTATGAGTGGGTAGAAAATGCAATTGTGTTCAGGCCTAATTTGAGGAACTGGCAATCTGCTGTTCGGGATGCATTATTAGAGGCTGGGATTGATCCATACCATGGATTCAGTCTGGATCATGTTGTGGGCACTAAGATTGGGGGCTCGACCTTTGACAGCTCGAACACGAGGCATAGTGCAGCCGATCTTCTAAACTATGCAAACCCTTCGAACATTAAAGTCGTGATACACGCCAGTGTGGAGCGGGTTCTGCTGACATCATCATCTTATTCGATTAATTCAGGCAAGAAGCTGTCGGCCAATGGGGTCGTGTTTCGTGATCAGGCGGGCTTTTACCACCACGCCATGGTGAGAGACAAGGGTGAGGTCCTGCTGTGTGCCGGGGCCCTTGGGAGCCCGCAGCTTCTGTTGCTGAGCGGGATTGGGCCCAGGCCCTATCTGGCCTCGTGGGGGATTCCCGTGGCACGCCACTCGCCATATGTCGGTCGCTTCATGTACGACAACCCAAGAAACGGGATCTCGATTTTGCCGAGAGTGCCCTTGGATCATTCCCTGATACAGGTCGTGGGCATCACCAGCTCCGGGTTTTATCTGGAAGCGGCCTCGAATATTGTCCCCTTCACGTCCCCAGCCCGGCCCATATTTATCAGGGCACCCAGCTCTTCACCTACTTACCTCACTGTTGCAACTCTGATGGAGAAAATAGTCGGGCCCCTCTCTTCAGGCTCCCTTAGGCTCGCATCCACCAATGTCAGGGTGAACCCGATTGTCCGGTTCAACTACTTCAGGAACCCGACCGACCTCGAACTATGCGTGAATGGGACCCGGAAAATTGCTAATGTTCTCAGGAGCCGATCAATGAATGGATTCAGGTTCCGCCAGTGGTTCGGAGCCAGGGAATTCCGGTATGTCGGGCCTGTGCTGCCGCACGATGTGTCGGATGACGAGCATATGAGGGAGTTCTGCAGGCGTACGGTGAGCACCATATGGCACTACCATGGGGGCTGCCTCGTGGGGAAGGTTGTGGACCGAGACCTGAAGGTTATGGGGATTGATGCTCTCAGAGTTGTGGATGGCTCGACTTTTACTGTGTCGCCTGGGACTAATCCTCAGGCTACTCTTCTCATGCTGGGAAGGTAAGAGTTCTCAGTATATGGATTACTGTAAAAACAACCCAGATTAAAGTATTGCCGATAGCCCATTGATCTTTGTATTTGTTATGGAAGTCATGTGCATAAGATAGTTGAGCATTTTTTTTTTTCTGCAATTAGAGTGATCTGAAAGTAGTATGTCTAGTTGTATTATACAAAGTATATGCTTTATAAACAGTGGCCTGTTACATGTTTGCCTGACAGTTGAGTGGTATTTCGTTTGCAGGTATTTTGGTATGAAATTGCTTAGAGAACGAACATGATAGAGTTAGATGGCTGCTAGCTGCGGAGGTAAAGGGTGAGCTAAAAGTGGTGCAATCCCTTTGAGTGTTACTTTGTTCTTAGGTTGTTTAGTGTGTAGGATTTTCTGTGATTAGGCTGACTGATGAGTGTGAGCTTTACGATAGGTGTAGCTTTACGAAGCGACTGATAGAACCTGAGCCATTTGTTGTCTGTTTTTACGTGTTTTTAGAATAACTAACGATGAGTTGTGTTGCTTGGAGTGGGAAAAAAAGGAATGCCTGATTTCTGAAGTTTTGTAAACTGCAGCTGAACTCATTCAAGCAGTTATATTGATGGGAATGTCGGTGGACTAAGTAGAATGCAAATAATTCATCACTCATACCAATTTTTTATTTTTTCTTTTGCCTGTTTTATTTTACCTTACAGAACTTTTTATTGTGGTTTTATCATTTTGGGATATGCACGCTGTGAAGTGTAAATGTAGAACCTCCAAAGTTGTGTTGAACATGGAGATTGAGTTGCCAATAAAGGCTGATATCACATTAGCTGTTTGCAGAAAATATCAAGAATGAGTGATTTCCAACATTCGGCAGTTTTTTTCTTTTTTTTTTTTAGTTCCTGTTTTAGCCAGAATAATGAACTAATTTTGCATAAACCAACTCTAATCATCCTAACAAAATTCGAGCAAAAGAGCCGTAGAAAGTCGAGAGGAAAAGAGTAGAGAGTGAGAGAGTAGAGAGAAAAGTACTCAAGGACAAAAACGTTCAAAGGGGACGGTGACTAGTAATAAGGGGGCGTAAATAGTAGTATGTCAATTAATTAATCTAACACAACTCTTGCATGCGATCTCAATTTTACATGAAATCGCTGTTCCTTCTCACGACTCTGTTATCACCATCACCACCCTTCTACTCGCTCACTGTGAGTCGACGAACACCTTGAGGAAACAACAATCTATCTGCGGAACTTCTTCCTGCTTCCGTTGCAACCCTCAGAAAATGCTTCCACGCGCGCCTTCTACAACCTCTAACCTCTTCCCTTCACTCCTCCCCACAGTTCATCTGCTCAAACCCTCAGTTTTTCTCTCTAGACCCGCAATTAATCGATCCTCCTTCATGCCATTGATTAAGAACAACAAACTGTGGGTCGAACCTTTGAGATGCTCCGTTTCCGTAGTTGCAGAGCCCCCTCGTTTGGAATCCGCCGACAATCACAAGCCTTTTGCAGCTGAGCTCTCCCGAACGATCGTGGAGTTATCCTCTGTGGGCACCCTTTCAACCCTCCCTCAGGACGGCTCGCCCTTAGGTTACGGCGTTCGATTTGCTGTTGACTTGAATGGAGCTCCGGTGTTGTGCTTGAATGAGTTCGATGAAAGATTTTCTCCTGATAATCGGAGATGTAGCCTTCATGTCCAGGTGAGTGGATACCTTTACCGGTTGACTTCATTTGATTAGCTTTAACCTCGGTAAATCGGTAGCAATTTTCTTTTAGCCATTGTTAGTTTATGTTTTGGTTACTTTTTGTGAGCTTGTAAGCATGTATTGGGACATATGTTTGGGTGAATTTTGTCTTGCCCTTGTTAAATTTGTGGAAACG